CGATCCCCGGTACCAAAAAAAAAAAAAAGACAAGTGAGCCGGGGCCCACAGGGGCCAGCAACCTGCCGAGGTCAAAGCCACTGACCATAGCCAGCCTGCATCCCAGAGCTGCCTGTCCTGGCTCCATGCTTCATGTCCATAGGAGCAACAGAATGGGCTGGAGCCCACCTTTGGAGTGGACACTCAGAGTCGACAGGATGCAAAGCCTGGGAACTAAACTGGGAGTTTAAATTTCTGGGACTGAACCTACTTCCTCTGATTGAACGCGAGAAGGGCCAGATAACGTCTCAGACCATGGGCACTGCCTTCACTGCCTTACGCAGCTTCTATACCTCGACCTTTCTCCCGCCTCAGCTAAATGTCAGGTTGGGTCCCGTGGCCTTGCTACCCGGGGGTCCTGGCTACTTCAAGCGGCCCAACCCAAGTCCCCCTCCCAGATGTGGGAATTAGATTTCCTCCCACAGGGAGGAAAGGGGCCCGGGTGGGCTGGGGGGTCAGAGGCCTGGGCCTCCATGTCCCCAGACAGCTGCGACCCAGGCCCAGAGGCCACTCACTCTTTGACTTCCTTGGAGGAAAAGTCGAGGTAGCGGTTGCTGATCCACTGAATCTCGAACCAGTCCCGGAAGCCGTTGTTGCCGCAGCACTGGAACTCGATCTGCAGCAGGTCGATGGTCCTCTTCATGAAGCAGCGGCCCGGCGTGTCTGTGTCGCGATAGTATTTCATGCCACTCCTGAGCCCCTGGGCCAGCGTGCTCTCCAGGGAGCCCTGCAGCAGGAAGCAGCAGAGGGCCACAAAGAAGACGACGAGGTTGAAGAGGACACAGACGGCCAGATAGGGCTTCAGCCAGAACCTCCACTTGGCGAACTTGGCCGGATCCAGGGCGTCGTAGCAAATCTTGCCAGCCAGGGAGTTGAAGACACAGGACAGCGCTCCCACCCCTATCAAGGAGTTGGGCACGACGTGGCTCTCAGCGTCGTTCATCACTTCGCTCCTCTTCCGGAGCTCGATCTTCAGAAAGAGCCCCAGGCTGAAGAGGATGATGCCAGCCAACACGGAGAGCCAGTTCATGAGCCAGAGCCCCTGTGCCAACTTGACCCGCTTCTTCTGATCGAACTTGACTTTGAGTAGCGCCATGCTCGCCCCGTGTGGTCCAGCAGAGTCGCACAGCGCAGCTCCCCTCCCGACCAGGGCCCCTCGGGGGCTGAACACTCAGGGCAGAGGGAAGGGAACACTCGGCCAGCTCTGCAGGGGGCTCCTCTCGGGGGTGTCCATGTCGGGCCCCCACCCGGGACCCCGGGAGCTCAGCAGGAGCAGGAGCCGGAGCCGTGTGGATTGAGCAGCTCCCTTCCCGGCCGATCAGGGACAGGTGAGCCCTGCAGATTAAAAGTGGGACCCTCAGGACGTCTTGCTAATCTCCTTACCAGGTTCATCCCATTAGATAAAGCCTCGCCAGGCACGCAGGACAGCAAGAGGAGCCTCTGTGTACCGCCGGGCAGGGAGCTCTGGGTTCAGCTGGGAGACTGGGAAGCAAAACCGTGCAGTTGGCCAGGACACCTGGCCTGGAGCACCAGCCCAGGTGAGCTCTCTCCAACTTTCCGCGGGATAAAAGCATTGTAGTCCAAGTTGAAAAAGAAATGCTAGATTGTGACAAAACACTTGCAACACACAAAACAAGAGACTATGCAAAGAAGGCCAAACTCCCACAAATGCACAATGGAGAAAGCAAGACTGAGAGTGCAGCTCTATAGGAGAAGCCTTTGCCTAGCATGGGCTCCACCCCAGCATCCAAAAAAAAAAGCCTGAACACCTAGGAGGCTGAAGCAGGAGGATCATGAGTTCAAGGCTGGCCTGCAATTTAGTGAGATCATGTCTCCAAAAAGAAGGGGGGTGAGGGGAGGAGGAGGAGGACGAGGAAAAAGAAGACTGGAAAGACTGGAGATGTAGCTCAGTGCAAAGGTTCAACCTAGGTTCAAAGGTTCAACCCCCTAGGGCCACTAAATAAATAAATACTAAAGTCAACAATTAACTGGGAAAATAGGCAAAAGTCAGAACAGGAAGTTCACGGCAAGGAAACTTGCAACATCTAACCAAAAATCTAGAAAGGTTCTCCAACCTGAGTCCTGTGCAAAGAGACACAAATTAAAGCAACAATTTAAAAAATAAATAAATAAACCTGATCCAGCAAGGGTTTGAGCATCTGCCAAAATTCTGTCCTAGATTATAAATAAAGATAGTGGAAAAGCAGCTACATATTCTTGGTGAGACTGTCATTTTTTTTAATTAATGGACTATTTCTTAGAGCAATTTTAGCTTTAAAAAAATAAATTGGACAAGCTGGGCGTGGTGGCGCACGCCTGTAATCCCAGCACTCGGGAGGCTGAGGCAGGAGGATCGCTGTGAGTTCGAGACCAGCCTGGGTTACATAGTGAGTTCCAGGTCAGTCTCATCGACATAGTGAGACCCTGTCTCAAAAAAAATAAATAAATAAAATAAATAATAAATAAATAAAAAAGGGGCCAGGGATTTAGCTCAGCGGTTCGGTTGTCTGCCTTGCAAGCGTAAGGATCCGAGTTCAATCCCTGGTACCAAAAATAAATAAATAAATAAATAAATAGACAGGACAAAAACAAAAGAAAATAAAAACAAAAACAAACTGGACAGGATTCAGATCTGGTTGCCATACATCCACCTGTCCGCCAACCAGTCTGACTTCAGGTGACACCCTGCATTACTGTGGTACATTTATGTTGATTCCTCTGTGAGTTTGTCACGCACATGCCGCGAACCCGATATGACCGTGTCATACCCTGCAGCTCGACGCTGTGACAATCCCCATGTTCCACTCCCTCCCCTGCCTCAGGTGTCTCTACAGCTTTGCCTTTCCAGAACGTTCCCTAGTCAGACTCAGAGCCTTTTCAGGCTGCCTTCATGCCCTCAGCGACATCTTTTTGTAGCTTAGCGTGACTCATTTCTACGGTAGGGATGGGCCCTGGTTCATCCAGTCACTATTACAGAATATCTTGGTTGCTTCCAGTTTGAGGCAATTATAAATCAAACTGCTACAAATATCTGCATGCAGGCTTTGGTGTGCATGTAAGTTCTCACCTCGTCTGGGTGAGCGCAGGAGGGAAATGGACGGATCACGCAAGAGCAGTGTGCGTAGTCTTGGGATAAGCTGACAACTGTCGTCCCAGGGCCTACAACCACCCACTTGCCAGCATGGATTCCATCCGTGCCAGCCACTCCACCAGGTGTATACTGGTAGCTTGTTGCTGTTTTAATTTTTTTTTGTTGTTTTGTTTTGTTTTTTGGTACCGGGGATCGAACTTGGGTTGTTGCTGTTTTAATTTGGAATTCTTTAATGACATTTTATATGGGGCGTCATTTTATATGCTTATTTGCTACCTGTCTATCTTCTGTAGTGGGGTATCTGTGCAGCTCCTGACCCTTTTTGTTGTTGGGTTTCCTTTTGTTTTGTTTTGCTTGTTTGGTTTTTGTTTTGTTTTGTTTTGTTTTGAGGGGGGATACCGGGGATCAAACTCAGGACCCTTGTGCTTGCAAGGCAGGTGTGGTGCAGCTGAGCTAAATCCCTGGCTCTGTTCTGTTTTGTTTGTTGAGACAAGGTCTTGCTATATAGTTCAGGCTGGGCTTGAACTCACTGTGTAGCCCAGGCTGGTCTTGAAGTTGCAGTACTCTCTTGTCTCTGCCTTCCAGTGCTGGGATTCCAGGCTTGTACCGCCACTCCCAGCCTCCTGTCCTTTTTTGTTTTGTTTTTTGTTTTTTGAGACAATGTCTCCCTATGTAGTTCAGACTGGCCTTGAACTCACTATGTAGAGTGACTGGATCTCACAGCAATCCTCCTGCCTCAGCCTCCCAAGTGCTGGGATTACAAGTGTACACCATTATGCCCAACTGGATTGTTTGTTTTCTTTAGCAAGTGCTCTGTGGGGAGGGGGTGCTGGGGACTGAATCCAGGGATCCTACCACTGAGCTGTTTCTAGCCCTATTTGTTTTAATTTTTATTTGTTGGATTTCTTTGAGACAAGTTCTCATTATGTAATTCAGGCTGGCCTTGAACTCACTATGTAGCCCAGGATGATCTCAAACTCGTGATTTCCTGCCTTAGCCTTTTGAATGCTGGGATTAGGTGTGCAACACCGCCCCTAGCTTCAGAACATAGATTTTTAAAGGGTTATTTATCTACCTCTGTCAAGGTTTAATGCACACATCCCCAATGACCCAGTGCTTCCATTTCCCACAGCAGCCTGTGGATAAGCACAGAGGAGTTTAGGAATAAGCCAATCTTGTCCTCAGATTTCTGGCCACCTAAAACTGAAGTTTTCCTGACTGAGAAGCCCAAGTGCTCACGGTGGCAGTGAGTCAAGTCCCTGGCTCTGCTAGATTCACCACCCACCCACTGCGCTCTAAGACCCCCAATGACTAGGTCAAAGCAGAGGTGCATTTCTCCAGGGCCAGGGGAGGCCAAAGGACAAGCTCTTGCCCTGAGAGGTGGGCGCAGTCCCTGCGGAAAGCAAAGTCCTTATTGGATCATCAGCCCACGTCTGGACCCCAGTTGGCATCTCCAAAGCCAGGCTCTGGCCACTCGGGGAAGGAGTCTTGTCATATAACTGTCAACCAAGCTAGAGTAACAGTCTACCCAGAGTGACGGCTCCAATAACATCCAAGTCCCTCAATGCCAAAACATTTTGACTCTCCAACCCTCCCCCAGTGGAGACGCTGAAAAGAATCCGCTGCAGTTTCTGGAGTCACCTCTTCTCTCTGTTGTTTTTCCAAGGGAGGATTGCAGACAGCAGAGCTGGCTGGATTCCACCTCCGGCGGAGGCCTCTGCAGACAGCGGTCCCCGGAGAATGGAGAGGCTGGCCCAGGGAATCTCCAAGGAGCATGCACTGGGATGAGCGAACACCACAGGAAAGGAGCGGAGGAAATTTAAAAATTGCCTAACCAAGGTAAGGGCATTAGCAGAGCGCCTCTTTCTCCTCCCACCCCAGGTTCTGTATGCATCTGTGGGTGCCCCCTGGTGGCCAGGAAGAGAACCGCGTCGGTGGATGGAAAAGGGGGGCCTTCATCTCCTTCCGTAAAACATCACTGAGGATGTCAAATTAGTGAGAAAGAGCAGACACATCAGACATGTCCCTGACCACAGTTTTCAAGTATGAATAAGGTCGGATGAAGAACTCGCAGGCAGGTGGGCTTCAGGGTAGGGTAGGGAATCTTTAGTGGACTCTCCTCCTGGATGAATCCAAGTGAGTATGGATGTTACAAGTCTAGGGCTGGGGATTTAGCTCAGCGGTTTAGTGGCCTCCCTCGCAAGCGCAAGGACCCGAGTTCAATCCCCGGTACCAAAAACAAAAAACAAAACAAGTCTATTTAAAAGAAAATAGAAAAGGGAAAAATGGAAACAAAGTCTTGGTAAATAAGGAAGGGTAGAGGGGATGAAGGGAGGGCAGGGGAATGGGAGAAAAATAAGAAACAAGACATATCATGTAAAGGTACAAGATCCCAATGATAAATGTAGCTGTATTATTTGCCTTAAATGTACCAATAATTTTAATGGAAAAAAATAAATAAAGATAATAGGCTGGGCACGGTGGTGCACAACTGTAATTCAGCATTTGGAAGGCTGAGGCAGGAGGATCTCAGCCTGGGCTACACAGTGAGTTCAAGGACTATCTGAATTACAAAGTGGGACCCTGTCTCAAAAAGCCAAAAAAAAAAAAAAAAAAAAAAAAAAAAAAGATAATAGATTATGGAATTAGGCTGATTCACTTTTCTTGCTTAGAAATTCCTTTTAATGAAGCTAGGCATGGGGTGGAACATGCCTGTAATCCCAGCTACTCAGGACACTGAGGAAGAAGCATCACAAGTTTAAATCCAGCCAGGGAGACTAAGGTGATTTCAAAACCTCATCTCAAAATCATAATAAAAAGGGCCGGGAATGTACCTCAGTGTTAGAACACTTGCCGAGCATGTCCTGGACTCAGTCCCCAGCACTGAAAAAACATTTATACATGCAGAAAAGTAAAAAGTTAACTTATAATTGTAAGCTTGATCAACCATAATTAAAATTTTGAGTTCCATTAACATTAATACATACAGCTATAGTTCATTAATGTTTTTATCTTTAAATATGCTGTTGATACAAAGAATATATACATCTTTGTAATAATACATATGTAACATAGAAGGTTATATATAGGACCGGGGATTTAGCTCAGTGGTTCCACTGCCTGCCTCACAAGTGCAAGGTCCCGAGTTTGATCCCCAGTACCAAGGAAAAAAAAAGAATATACATAACTTGTTATAAATCATCATAATAAACATTCACTCACCACCCAGTTATACATCACAATTCATTGCATCTACAATTCTTGTTACTGTTGCTGCCCCTACCCCAATGCGGGCTGTATTTGGGGAGAGGGTCAATAGGGAGGAAGTTATGGCTAAATGAGACCATAAGGAGGGGCCCTAATCCAATAGATCGGTGCCCTTAGGAGGAGAGGAAGGGACCAGAGTGCTCCTCAGGGCTGAGGAAAGGTGATCTGAGGATATAGTGACAGCACAGCCACCCGCAAGCCAGGAAGAGGCCTCACGGGAAACCAGCTCTGCCAGGACCTCCACCTTGGACTTCCAGGCTGCGGACTAAGAAGAAATTAGTGAAAAATAAGCACTGTCTGTGTACTACACCTTCATTTAAGCAGTAACCATTATTCTAGACACTGTAGCTTTTTCTTTTCATGTAAAATTGCAGAGTGTTTGCCTACATATGCTTTTTTCTTTTC